TGATGTCACAGTTCCGTAGATCGTGTGTTTCCATAGCAAGCCCAAAATCTATCAGCTTGACTCTGAAAGGCTGCGAATGATGATTAACCAGCATAATATTGTCTGGTTTTATATCTGCGTGAGTCACTCCAGCATTCTTCAGTGCGTTCAGAGCCACCAGCAGGTCGTGGGCAACCACCCGAATTTCACTGACATCTAGTGGTTTTTCCTGTCTCATTTTCAGTAAGTCATATAAGTCCATGTCTAGCATCTCAAACACTAAACAGAAAACACCATTGTAAACAAAGAAATCGATGAACTTAATCAGATTGTTCTGGTGGTCCTGGAGTTCTCTGAGTTCTGACAATATATTGATTTCTCTGAGAGCTGAGTCACGGTCATCCATGGTGATAAACTTCAGAGCCACTGCTTCAGCTGTTCCCTGTTTTAAACCCTTGTAAACCGCACCAAAAGCACCGTTTCCCAGAAATTTCTGAAGAATATAAACTCCACATCGCCCGGTAATGATCTCGTTTTTGTCAAAGTTAAGAGCCATTTTAGCTTAATTGGCTGTCTTCCAGTTCTGAATCCTGCAGCTGAAAGACTGGTGACTGATAACTGAATCTTATCAAGTTCAAAATATGGATTGTCTCTTAAAACTGATTTGATTTCAGCTTTTGACTGTGATATGCTACTCACAAAGTTCCTGTCAGCAAGAGAATGAGTCCTTCTAAATACTGTCAGAAGAGACGTTTATGCAATGCAACCGCCCTGGAGCTGTGATCTGTTCACTGATATTTGGAAGCTGATTTGACCTTTATATGACGACGCATAGTAGTGACGTCATCAGTGGTCACGTGATGTTATCAAAGCACCCAGTGGTCACGTGACGTAATCAAAGCACCCAGTGGTCACGTGATTTACGTTGCCCTTAGTTGCTAATGCTAATAGTCAGCTCAGCGTTGCTAGTCAACATGAGCGGTTCTGGCCGGACTCGACGCTAAAACGACCCTTTTCTCATTTCTACAGATATTTTTGACGAATAATGTATGGTTATTATTACACTAATTATGTATTTTATCAAAGCATTTTTTTGGAGCGCCACAAACATTTATCAGCTTTATATTTTTAAAAGGTATATTGCAAACAAAACGTAGAAAACACGTGGGTTACAGATCGTATTTAGCTAAAATAGGTATAATTGTATAAAAATGAGTGTTTATAGAATACACCTATCAATGAAAGAATGTGGTTTATAATTTGAGAGCTTCTGTTCTCTGCATGCTAGCATAGATGCTCTTCTTTTTGTCTTAATATAAACTTTAATGTCAGTAGTTCCTTCAGATCTACCAAGCAGGAGAGATAACTGTTTCCAGGATTTAATCTTCAGTCTATTCTCTCTGCCTGCTGTCAGATGGAACATGAGATGATCTAAACTCATTTAAAACACGTTTTTAATGACTTGGGGGGGAAAACGTGTGGTTGTAAATGCATCTATAACCCTGCTGATTGTGCTTCCAGCCTAACAACTAGTGTAAAATAGTAACAAATTTATTAAAATGTTAATTTAAATAAAGCTATTTCTGGTTAAAACCTTATTAGAAAACAACATATGTGAGTCAAAAAGAAAAACATTTTTTATTTATTTCTTCATTAAAAGCCAGAGATCATAATAACAGAAAACTGTGTGATAAGTTCAACCTGCACAAACATTTACAGTCGGCATTGACATGTTTTAGTCTCACGAGACCCCACAAAAGAACTTCTGCTTCAGTGAGCTCAGCAAGCTCCAGACTTCTTCAGGACTAGAGGATCCCTCTCTCTGACACCAGAACCCAGATGAAAAGAGACAAAAACAAAGAAACACATAATCTAGCACCACAACATGCAAACCCCCACCAACGCTCCAGCACCAGTACAGATGGGTGGTGTTTTTGGAGGGATTTTAGCTCCCTTACCATTCCTTTTAATACCAGTGATCCTGTAAAAGGCCCCATCACCCAGCCAGCTGCACCACTCCACTTACCAGCATTTACTCCATCACTGACCAGACCAGCTGCTTCCAACCAACTGATTGTTGCTCATCACCACTCAGGATCATGTGAATACATGAAGATGGACATGAATGCAAAGGCAGCAGTTTGACCTGAAACTTTTTAATTAATGATCTAGTTATTTATTCATGCTGATATTTCATTGTTAATAATTCTTCTTGTTCTGTCTTCAAGTAAAGACTCTAATCCCAACCTGACCATAAGTGGTAAATTATTTAACAGATGCAAATGAACAGTCCTGCAGTAAGTACCAATGTTGTGAAGGTTCTGTTGTTCAGACGTCCTGATTCAGCTCTGGTTATTCTGGAAGACACGTCGTGTTACCATGGTTATCCTGAGTGTGTAGCATGCTTGAGCAGGTCACGGAAGTCAGCATCATGTGGCTTAACTGAAAAAATGAAATAATTACTCATGTTCATGATCACATTTTACTTTACTGATGATATGCCAAATGCTGCTGCTGTCTGTCAAATGATCTACATCTCTAAACTCACCATGGCCGTCTCAGAATAAAAACAGCTTCCTCTAGTTGGGATGGATTAGTAACTGGAGTTGGAGCGAGTTAAAGAGCTGCATGGACAAATGAAGTTAAAAATGTTTCTCATGAAGATTCGTTTGTCCTCTACCACTCTGATGTTCACAGACGGACATTATTGTAATAGAATTCTTTCAAATATTTAAAACTGCACTGAAAGTTAAAAAGCTGAATGAGACACTAGTTTAAACTCACTAAGAATGTTTTCTGTATCTTTACATGAAGGGAAAGTTAGAAATGTATTAGATAGAAATAAAAGTTATTAAAACTTAAACTGCATCCTAATTATGTCTTATTACTCTTTCCCCTTGACAGACGGTGACAACCTCAAACTAGGGTTGTCACGTTGTGAAAATTTAACCTCACGGTTATTGTGACCAAAATTATCACGGTTTACAGTATTATTGCGGTATTTTTTTAAACATGTAAAATTTTCAAGAAACTAAATAAACCCTGTATATCAGGAAAATATTGTCCTCAGTTTGTCTAAATTTTGCCTACAATTTGTTATTTTGTAATTATGTTGTTTATTTGTTTACATATTTCCCCTTTAGTCTTTAAAATACCAATATTTGCCCATAACTTCTTATTTTTTGTCTGTTTGATGTCATCATTTAAAAATTTTTAGATCAGATGATACTCAGTACTTAAGTAGCCTTCTAATCAGATACTTTTTTTTACCCTTACTTGAGTAATAAACTCTGTATCAGGAAAATATTGTCCTCGGTTTGTGTCCTTCCAGTGAGCTTTGCAGATGTGGGGAAATGTCATCAGGCAGTAATCATTGTTAAATTCATAATTATTCTCGGAGAGAAACCAACTCTTATCTGTCCCTGGATCCCCGTAATGCATAGCGTCATTTCAACATGGGGGTGTCCACGACACGGTTTATATGAAGGTAGCGGCGCTGCGGCTGCTTTATATAGCGACTCGTTGCATTCTCCCTCAACCCAAATCCTCGGATCACGCATTTTAGCTAAAACGCTAACGCTAACTTGCCTTGCGTTGACTGTAGAGTTGTGGGTGATGGTCACGCAGATGTGTCATGAGATTTGAAGCGTTGCTGCCTTTCACAGACACTTTTTCCTGCACGTGCTGCAAAGAGGATAGCCGTCTTCTATCAACTGTCCCTCGGCATTCTTCAAATATCCAAAATATGCACATACTTCCCTCTTTGTCTTCTTTGAGGGATAATAAATGTCCTGAGCACTGCGGTCTCCTCCTTTGGCCATTATTTCAGCTTTAGCTTCGAGAAAGTTTTGGCTGTAAACAACAAAGTGCGCATGTGCCGCCGGCAACTTCAGCAGATGATACGGTGGCTGGTAAGGGTCTTTACGCATACACCCAGCCACGGTAATCCACAGAGATAATATAGTTTTTTTTTAAACAAGACAGTTATTATTATTGTCAACTTTTTTACCGGGGTTTACCGCTACACCGGTTACCATGACAACCATACCTCAAACTACAGGGAGTTCTTTTGAATGCTTCCATTCTTTGAAGTTTCCTCATCAGAATTAACCTCTGTATCCAAAGTCTGTGTAACAATGAAATCAGGTGTATTTTGATTTGTCTTCTCCTTTTTTGAGTTCACTCAGATCCACCAGCAGGTCGTGGGCAAACCACCTGGACTTGACTGACATCTAGTGGTTCCCCTCTCTCATTTGAAATAAACCAAATCTATTCATGTAATATGTTTCAAACACTAAACAGAAGCTGTCATTATATTCAAAGTGATCGATTAACTTAATGCATGGTGATACATTTTAGAGCCACTGCTTCAGCTGTTCCCTGTTTTAAACCCTTGCAAACCTCACCAAAAGCACCGTTTTCCAGAAATTTCTGAACAATATAAACTCCTGATTACACTGTAAGGCTGCATGGTGGCGCAGTGGTTAGCACTGTTGCCTCGCAGCACGAAGGTTGCAAGTTCGAAACTCGGCTGCGGCCTTTCTGCGTGGAGTTGTGTGTTCCCCGTGCATGCGTGGGTTTCCTCCGGGTACTCCGATTTCCCCCACAGATCACAACATGCCCTATAGGTTATAAATTGTAAGTCGCTTTTAGCGTCTGCTAAATAAATAAACATAATTAGGTTGTTCTGTTCAGCTCCCTGAGATGTTTTAATAAATTGGCTTCTCTGGTATCTGATCCCTTGTCATCCTTTTGGATACATCTGAGAGCCACGACTTCATCTGTCCCCTGTTTTAAACCCTTGACAACTTGTCCAAAAGCCAGGGGCGTCGGACGGGGGGGGCGGGGGCGGGGGGGGGGGGGGTACCGTTTACCCAGGGCCCACTGCAGGGAGGGGCCCTGAGACAGCTTTGAATAAATTTTTTTATTGTTGTTGTTTTTTCCCCCAACTTACTTAATGTCTTAATAAACGTCCCTTTACTACTATTACAGGGAAAGTTTTAAGAAATTGTTATGTATAATATTCACAATTGGATTTTGATCTTGTGTTTCTAGAGAACGAACGCCATGTAAAAGCAAACGCTCGAGAATACAACGACAAGTTCCGCTATGCTGTAAGTAGACCTCAAAACTGTGCAAGTCAGGATTTTGTCAGCTGTGTGTCTGAATGTGCTCCTCTTCAGGACAATCGCATCAAAACATCTAAGTACAACATCTTTACCTTCCTGCCTGTCAACTTGTTTGAGCAGTTCCAGAGGGTGGCAAACGCTTACTTTGTAGTTCTATTGATACTGCAGGTATGAAAATAAACCACTGCTGGTCTGATTTCAGCTTTCTGGAGGTAAAACTAACAAACGCATCTTTTTCAAGTTAATTCCAGAAATCTCCTCCCTGTCTTGGTTCACAACCATCGTGCCTTTGGTTTTGGTGCTGGCAATTACAGCCATCAAAGATGCTACTGATGATTTTGTGAGTTCCTCTTATTTACTCTAATTTATTATTTAGAAAATAATACTAACTGTTTTTATGAAATTGTTGCTCCTTTTATAATTTCAGTTTAGACACAAGAGCGACCAGCAAGTCAATAACCGACAGTCTCAGGTTCTCATCAGGGGAAGGTACTTTCTTGTCATTAATGGTTTTTCTGTTATTTAAGTGTTTTGCTAAACTATCATGAAACATTTGTTTGGACTTGTTAAGTTTACAGAGTGAGAAATGGATGAATGTTCGAGTCGGTGACATCGTCAAGCTGGAGAATAATCAGTTTGTTGCTGTGAGTAAATTAAACGTCCATGTGCTGCAAACTGTTGTGTATTAAGTGATTTTTAAAAGTATTTGCCCCATTCCAGATTTCTTCTGTTTTAACATTTTAGTTTCTACATCAGACAAAGATGACCTGAGGGAAAACAAAATGCATTATTTCAAATGGCCGTGTGAAACATTAAGCAGCTGCAACAGCTGTATTAACCAAGTGAGGCCTGCAGGGCTTGATGCTGTTTTAGGTTCTTTAGGTCTTTACTTTTTTTAGAACGGGGCATGATGTGCTGCTTTTGAGATCTTTGAGCCTACTTCATGCTGTCAGACAGTGTCTGTCCAAGTTTTCTCAGTTAATTCATGATTTAACAAGATTAATAATTACTTTTCACACAGAACCATGTTTGTTTGTATAGCTGATTGTCATTAATAACTTAAATCATGATTTGGAAACTCGTGTTATCTTTGTCTGATGTAAAAACATATATAGCAGCAGACTTTTAACAGAAGGTTTAGGCTGCTGATGCAGAACCATTTATTGCCTGCTGACTGTTTCATTTTGGGTTTTTTTTTTTTTTTTTTTTTACATGCAGGCAGACATCCTTCTGTTGTGTAGCAGTGAGCCTTATGGTCTGTGTTACATTGAAACCGCAGAGCTGGATGGGTGAGTTATGTAACGTTAGATGAGCAAATGAAAGGAAACAATTGTAAGGGGTCTATCAGCTCATTTGTAATTTTTGATTTTTCCTAAAACAGCGAGACAAATCTTAAAGTCCGCCAGGCTTTGAGTGTCACCTCAGATCTGGGAGATGTTTCAAAACTGATGGACTTTGATGGTGAGATGATGCACGTTGTTTGTTTTCATTTTTCTGCATAAAATTAATGCTCAGTTACATAAAATGATTTATTTGAACCCCCTTTCAAAATCACCTAGAGTAATTTTCCTAACTGAGGTTTAAAATAGCCTTATTTTGTCATTATTCCTCAGGAGAAGTCATCTGTGAGCCACCAAACAACAAGCTGGATAAGTTTACTGGGACTTTATTATGGAAAGACAGTAAATACTCTCTGGATAATGAAAAAATGCTCCTGCGAGGCTGTGTTCTCAGAAACACCGAATGGTGCTTTGGAATGGTCATCTTTGCTGGTATTTTTCTATTTGTAAACATATTAGTTTCAATATTTGTAGGTTATTCTCTCTTGAACCATATTCATAGGCTGATGAGGCGTTTTTTACATCCAACAGGGCTGCAAACCAAACTGATGCAGAACTGTGGAAAAACTAAATTTAAGAGGACCAGCATTGACAAGCTAATGAACACTCTGGTTTTATGGATGAGAGAGACTGTGGCAAGCCATTTTAACTTTTATTAGGCAGATTGGTTATGTATTTCAGATATCCATAATTATATTGTTCCTGGCAGAAATTAACATTCCAGATATCCACAATAGCATTCCTACTATCCTGAATGAAAATTTTCAGGTATCTGAAATGTCACATTTCCTGTTCATGAGTATTGGGTTCATAGCACCTCCTATCCGTAAATACATTCCTCCCGTCAAGAATGAACATTGTGGATAGGAGGCGCTAAAAACCCAATACCCATGAATGGTAAATGTGGCATTTCAGATATCTGAAATGTTCATTCTGAATAGAATGTTCTCATGGATATCTGGAATGTTATTTTCTACCAGGAACAATAGAGTTACAGATATCTGGATTACATATCCAGTCTGCTTAATTAATGGTAAAACAGCCACCTTAATTTTATAAGAATTTGAAGATATCTCAATCTTAATTCCTACTGGTACAGTTGGTATTTTGGATATCCTTAATTGTAATTTCTACTAGCAGACAAATGGCTGTTCATATCTTCATTTGCAATTTTGACTCGTAAGAACATATTTAATACGAGGACAAATTATATTATTGCATTACAAAACAGGAATGAATGAAAGGTCCGTTTTTGATTAAATGTTAAAACGGCTTACCACAAAGAGACACAGTTACAGGCTGACAGATATGTTTAAAATGGTGTTATTGGTTTTTGAGCCTTTAAAAAAGATATTGTGTTATATTTCAGATCTTTGCGTTCCTCACATGTATGGGAGTTGTTTTGGCTATTGGAAACACAATTTGGGAGACTTGGATTGGCAGAAAGTTTGAGGTGTTTTTGCCCTGGGAGCAGTTTAAGAACAGTGCTGTCTTCTCTGGCTTCCTCACCTTTTGGTCCTACATCATCATCCTCAACACTGTGGTGCCCATCTCTCTGTATGTCAGGTAAAGAAAAAGAATGTCTTCACTATTATACACAATATGTAAAATTCTTGTTGAAAGAACGTTGTCTAGACTTGACACATTTTTTGTTTCAGTGTGGAGGTCCTACGACTCGGTCACAGCTTCTTCATCAACTGGGACCAGAAGATCTACCACGATCAGACGGACACCTCCGCTGAAGCGCGAACCACCACCCTAACCGAGGAGCTTGGGCAGGTGGAGTTCATCTTCTCCGATAAGACCGGCACGCTCACGCAAAACATCATGGTGTTCCGCAAGTGCTCCATTAATGGACAGACCTACGGTATGATTAGTCACTGAATCTCTCCACACAAAGATTAACTTGGTAAATTAGTTAAATATAAAAAAAATTGACTAATTTACACTTAACACATTTATCAGAAGTGTGACCAGTGAGTTGCTACTCATCAGGTTCAGGATCTTCTACTCTAATGTGTTTTTAAAAATTGATTTTTTTTTCCTCCCAAAAAATTTTATTATTTTATCACAACATTTTGGCTAAAACACAGTCAGTTTAGTTTTGTTTAAAGCCAGAAGGCCTCTCTGCAGCTGCAGACACTACTGTAGCCAACGAGAATGAAAATAATCAGATTTACTGCTCTAAATGTCAGGTCAAAACACTTACTATCGTTTATTTTCTCTTTAAAACGTAAACTCATTTAAAACACTTTCTTAAGAAATAAAAATTAGAACAGTAAAATAAAAGCTTGGACAAAATGATGAAGTGCTGTTGCTCCTTTTTTAGGAGACGCCTATGATGAATTTAACCACAGGGTGGAAATTACAGAGGTATGTGGTTTAAAGATCACAACAACACAAGAAATATAAAAGAAGATTAAAAACAGTTTTGTGTCCTCAGAAAACAGCCTGTGTGGACTTTTCCTTCAACCCTCTCTGTGACAAAGGGTTCAGGTTTTACGACAGCAGTCTGGTTGAAGCCGTCAAACAGGAGGATCCTGCTGTCCAAGAGTTCTTCAGACTGCTGGCTTTGTGTCACACCGTCATGCCCGAGGAGAAGAGTGAAGGTAACGCTCAACAATCAAGAAGTAACTGAAGCGGTTCAGTGTTACTGATTGTTTCTGATTGTGTTCAAATGAAGGGAACCTGGTGTACCAGGCCCAGTCGCCTGACGAGGGAGCGCTGGTGACTGCAGCAAGGAACTTTGGATTTATCTTCCGGGCTCGAACCCCGGAAACCATCACGCTGTGCGAGATGGGACGGTCCACCACCTACCAGCTGCTGGCCATTCTGGACTTCAACAACGTGCGCAAGAGAATGAGTGTCATTGGTTAGGTCGTCACTTATAAAATGTCAAAGTGACACCAGAATCCACTGTAAAGTCCATCAGATAAAATATCCTTTTACACTATTATGAATGACTCTTTAATATTAAATCTTCACATGTCAAGGTGTTCTTGTTTCTGTGTGTCGATGTATGTCTAAAAGTGATAGTAGTTCTCTGTCTGTGTTTCTGAATCAGTGAGAAACCCTGAAGGAAAAATCAAACTCTACTGCAAAGGAGTCGACACCATCATCTATGAGCGTCTCAATCCATCCAACGAAGAAATAATGTATACGACCTCAGAACACCTCAGTGTAAGCACCATCGGATGGACAAAACAAACAAAGCTGTTCAATTTAAATAAACACAGTGTGCTTGTGTAATAAAACGGCTTAAAACACATTTTCCTCAATCCACATATTCTCTTTTTAACGCTAAACTTTTTTCGTCCTGGCACCATGAACATCTCTGCAGCTTTTATTTGTGGAGCGTTGATTAATCGAATGACTCATCACGCCTAAGCTGAATGTGCTGCTGTTGTATGTGTTTGTTTTCCTGTAGGAGTTTGCTGGAGAAGGGCTTCGAACTCTAGCTTTGGCCTACAAAGACATAGATGAAGACTATTATGAGGTCTGGATGAAGAAGCTTCACTATGCCAGCACTGTGATTGAGAACCGTGATGAGCA